CGGGGGCGCGGCGCGGGCTCGGGGGCGGCAGGAGCCCGGCTCCCGGCGACTCGGGGACCCGAACGCGCACTCCCTTTCTGTCCTGCTCCAGGGTACCTTACATCGCTCCCAAGGACACCGGGCTCTGACCTCCGACCACGGAAAGAGAGCGACAGACTCCCACAACTGGGGTCTGAGTCGCGTCAGAGAGGGAGCCAGGAAAGGACTGGGGGAGCAGCCAGCGACCGATGCTGCACCAGCTCTGTCATCCGCAGCAGGCCACTAAACTACCTGGTCAGAGTTTCTTCATCAGCAAAGTGGGAATGTTTTGCTCAGTGCCCAGGACTGCAAACTGGTGGCCAGCGGGTCACTGGGCGTTTTGTTTGACTGGCTCAGTGTATTGAAAGATCCCAGGTCAGCACTTACTCCTGCATCCGTTTGTTACGGGCAGGGTGGCAGAGCATTTGAAGCTGTGACGCCTGTTCTGTGAGCCTGGGAACTGCTATTTATTCACTCATTTACTCGTTCACTCACCCCTTTACTCATTGTTCTTGCATATGCCTGCTATGTGCCAGGCACTGTTCTAGGCTCTCGGGTTACATTAGCGGACAGTACACTCAAAGATTCCCCACGTCATGGGGTTTACATTCTGTTGTGGGAAACAGGAAGCACAATAAATAAACACATTATATGGTAGGTGACAAGGTGATACCTGCTATGGGGGAATACTAAAGCATGCTAAGGGAATAGGGGGACATGAGGTTGTGATTTTTTTTTTTTTTTTTTTGGTGGCTGGCTGGTAACAGGGATTGAACCCTGGACCTTGGTGTTTTCAACACCATGCTCTAAACAGAGATGGCATTTAAACAAAGGAAGGAACCATCTGTATCTGGTAGTCATTCACTCACTCATTCATTTATCTATTAGTTCATTCATTCATCAAACAGATGCTGATCTCCTGCTGTGTGCCCGAACAGTGCTGGCTGGTGGGGAGATAATTCCTACCTTCAAGAAGCCCCCAGTCCAGTATGTAAAGAGTCGATCGCAACCCAGTGTGGTCAGGACTGGTTGTGACTACAGGAGTGTGGAAGTTGGGTGGAGCTGAATCAGCAAGTAAGGGATGTGGTGATGATCCAGGGAGGCTTCCGAGAGGTGACACTTGCATGGGATGGGTAGGAGTTTGGATGAGCTCAGCCACACTGACTTTTCTATTCTTTAAATATTCTGAGCTCAAACCCACCCCAGGACCTTTTCACTTGCTATTTCCTCTGCTTGAGTTGTTCACGTCTCAGTCCAGAGATTCCTTTTCAACCACTCAAATCTAAAATACACCCCCACTTTCTATCACATCACCCTATTTTATTCCCTTCATTACATCATTATCCAAATTTATCTTATTTATTTGCTTATTTTATGTCTCCCTTTGGGTGGCAAATGACCTCCACGAGGGCAGGGACCTTATCCGTC